TAGTGTAATGCTCTTTTACCTCACCTCCGTGGCAAAGTTTAAAACCATGGACGACGTGAGCCTGACTTTGTGTAACCTGTTCCTGAGGTTTTACTATCTGAACAGTGCAGCCAATCCGGTCATTTACAGCTTATGTGACGCCGTATTCTGGCGTGACTGTCTGCAACTTTTGAAGTGCAAAGGGAAGGTTCGAAATACACAAAACTAGTTTTACTGGATTACTTTTCTTGTACTTATTGAATTGACAAGCACTGTATCTAAGTACAGAATACTAGTTAGTAACCTTTTGTCTGTCTGTTTGCTGATGAGTTCAAATACAAGGTGATCCAAAAAAACAACTTTACCAATTTTGTTGTTAATATTTTACTCCACACTAAAGTTTTGCGTGTCAAATTTGTACGCAACATTTGGAAGTCAGAAGGAATTTGTCTGATATTCATTTTATATAAATCCACACAACAGTTTTGCTCTAAATAGCCCGTAAAAAACAACAACCCATTATCAGCTATGTCCTCATTTTTGTGGCATGACGCACAAGTTCGCATTAGGCATACCATTTAAAATCCCTACGATTGCGCCATATTACAAACTACAGTAGTCCAATAGGCCAACAGAAGTTTGCAGATAGTTTTTCTCAAGTTTCCCTTGCCTGCTGAGATCTTGGTTTCGTAAGTTTCGCACAAGGTACGGAAATAATGTTAAAGGGCTTTTTTATGTCAAGGGAGGAAATGGTCCATCACTTAGGACATGTAGAGAATCAGAGCAAAAAATTCTCAGACAAAACGATCACTTCAGGTCAGACACACACCGTTCGCATCCCTTTGAACGTCACAAGGGTGCAGAATTCAGTAGATGAGCCCCATGAGACGTCTGTCCGTAGACGGTGTCTGCAGCAATGACTTTCCTACATCTCAACGGTCCGCATTCTCAAGGCAGATCTTCATCTACGACTGTACCATTTTCCCGTTCGCGAAGCTATCAGAGGATAGCAGTGTCGATCGTCTTGAAAAGCGTGAACATTTCCTCTGTGACATTTGGTTCCTTGGCGAAGCCCATATTCACCTTTCAGGTTATATTAACTCCACAAATGCTGTCTATTTGGGCAACCTCACACCCCCCCCCTCTACTGACTCTTGAAACAGCTCCATACTGCAGCGGGTACAGAGTGTGTGGCTTTGAGTACTCATGGTTGAGTGGATCCTTGTGTTTGGCCACTACTGAACATTACGAACTTCGCGTTAAAATGTGTCAAGTACAAAGGAGGACATTGTTTTCGGAATTCCAGAATTTATAAAATATTTTCTTAACTTTGTAGGAGAAAAGAAATATTGTTTAAAGGTTACAGGGATGGAAAAATTAGGTTTTAAAAATAAAAGGAAAGGAAAAAACACAAACCAATCATTTCATGACTTTCCTTATAAGATCTTTTAAATTGGTACATTTGTATAAAATAGGTGATTTTTATAAATGCCATTTTTGTTTTCATAAATGAGTTTCGTCTTTGTGAATTTCATGTCAAACAAATTACTTTTGAATGAATTATATCAGTTCCAAATTACAACATTCTAGTACAAATTTTTTTCGAGATATTTAGAAAAAAAGTTGTGATTTTTTGTTGTTGATCACCTTGTGCATGTTTTATACCAGACTATTTGCAATGAACTGCTATGGCGATTACATAATACTATTACCATCGTCTTTGTGGGAAGGGAAGACAGAAAAGAGTCATCATCATCATCATCATCATCATCATCATCATCATCATCATCATCATCATCATCATCATCATCATCATCATCATCATCATCATCATCATCATCATCATCATCATTTTTTGGTAAGCAGGGTAGGAGGGAGAGTCTTGTTTTAATTTTAGACAAAAATAAAATAACAATATAAAATGTTTAAATTTGTTTAATAGCTCAACGTTTCGCCCTGTGGGCTTCCTCAGGAGCAACTGAGAGAAAAACTAAACGAGCGCTGTATATTAGCAG